TTCATGATGTTTATGAAAAAGTTACTTGTAAAAATATTTGCTTTGTAACAAAACGCTTGAGTATTGCTATAATTTCATCTTTCTATTCCATTGTTATCTGGTTATCAGCGTATATGAAATATTGAATATTAAAAAATTAAGGAAAATCGATTTTTCCCCGTGAAACACGCACCGGCCACCCATGAGTGTCCATAAAAAAATTCAACCCAATCGGTCCAGCCGTTTGGCCGGCTATAAGCAACATTTATATGAATGTCTTGTTTTATCATATCGATAAACACTGCTCAGTTTTTGATAATTTTGATAATTCACATAATAGTTTCCTATGACCAGAATATTTCATTGATTTTTCATGTGAAAGATGGATCCCATGTCAGGCTTCGACATCCGTCTTGTGTTTACATTACTGCCCAGAGACAGTACACTGCAGTACAAAATATACGTACACCAAGGAAAAACAATCCTTGCATTATAACCTTGAATCAAACACGATTCTCAAATATTCCATTTTCCCACGTTTTTTTGACACTCTGTAGTCTGTACAATGTATATTGAGCAAGAAGAACAAATTTCTAGCCCGATAAGATCTTTTTCTGTCTTGTTTCCCACTTCTTAGAATAACCTTTCAGATTTTATCCAAGGACAGAAAGTGACAAAAGATAGAATAGTACAGGGGGAGGAAAATTAGGAAAATAAAGTTTAGTGGGAATATAAATCTATAGCTTCAGACTTTTCCTCAACTATGTGTTGACTTCAATCTTATTTTAAGGAAGATATTAGAATTTGAAGATTTCAATTTCAATCACAGTGAAATATAGATATCCTTTTCCACACATTTAAGAATCAGATAATTGTAATACAGTGATAACCAGAAAACTAATAAAGGAAGACGACTTTTAAACTCAAGTTAGTAAAAATATTTGCTTTGTAACATCATCTGCAAAACGCTAAAGTGTTGCTATGATGTCGGTTTTCTATTCCATTTTTTTCTGGTTATCACTGCATGTTAAATTATGTTCTCAAAACCCATAAAACTAAAAAAATCAGAATCAAAAAATGTTATTTTATTTAGACAACAAGCAAATAACTTGTGTCCATTTAAAAATGTATCAATTATTAAACAATCCCCTGGGATCCAAGCTTTGCCTGGATTTACCCCCAGAACAGTAAACTCACTAACAAAAATGGTAAACCAAGCTAAAAACATTCCCGTGGTTCTCCCGAGTTCTCCAATCAAAATTAGATGCGAATCGGTCAAGGGGTGTTCATGAGTTATGATTAGACATACACACATTCTATCAGAGATTACTGCGTAATTTATATATATATAGATATATACATATATATAGATGTTAACTTTGAAAAATGTTTCCTATTTCGTTTCAAACTTCTTTGAATAATCTTAACTGATATCAATTTCTAAATACTATTTTTCATTTTACTTTTTACCAAATCAAGACTTGCATCACAGTCTCACAGACTGACCTTGAAAATAAAATAGAATTTTCCAGAACAAAACTTTTTCGTTGCAATACAAGGTAAAAACTAAGTTTCCCTATACCATTCCCAATTCACTGCTAGGCTGTACCTTTAAAATTTTAATCTGATGTGGAAGATAACGTCGTTTTTTGCTGGAAAAGGGGTTAGTTCTGTTGATTTCACCATCTTTTCTGAAGCAAGAAATGCGCAAGTCACGTTTTAGAGAAACCACAGATGAAAACAATCAGAGCTGTGAACTTTAGAATGGGATACCTTTAATCCCGACTCCTCAATATGAATATCCAATGGAGACGATTTTAATTTCTTGTTTAATCCACTCTTTTTTGGATATAGTACAGAAAAATAAAAAAACCGGTTTTTCAAAGTTAGAGAGTCCCTCCCGTTTCTGTACATTAATCTTAAATTGTGCGCACAATTTCAAATTTCACGGCTTCTGATACGCGACTCTGATTGGTTGAATTTTATACACTTTTATACAAGATTAGGTTAGTCTCGAGATTAAGAAAAAGAGAGGATCAATCATTGATCTCGATATCCACCATTCTGAAGTTCCCAGCTCAGGTTTTAAAAACATAAACATGGAGATCTTATTTACACTCCATCAATGTAGAGTAACTTGAAATAACGCTTACCACTTAAATATATATTATTAAACCATGATGCAGGTGCAAGAATATGTTTATAATATGAGAGAGAAAATTTTTGAAATGTTTGAAGTTTGAAAGTATAATAAAAATAATGAGAGGATTTAGATAAGCACTTTTGAGAAGAATTACTAAATTGTGGTTCAAGTAGGAAGGTAAAAAGGAGTCTGCAGGCTTGATTGGGTTCAAGTGGGAGGGGAAAGGGGGGTTGGTATTTCGTATTTGATAGGATTCAAGTAGGGGTGGAAAGGGGGGTAGGTGTTTGATAGGATTCAAGTAGGGGGGGAAACGGGGGTTGGTGTTTGATAGGATNGTGTTTAATAGGATTCAAGTAGGAGGGGAAAGAGGGTTGGAGTTTGATAGGATTTAAGTAGGATGGGAAAGGGGGGTTGGTATGTAACAATCTAGGTCCCGAGGATTCTTTCAATACTTGTCTCTAACTCTAATTCTCCAGTCAATCCTGACTATATTCCTAGCCTACCCTGTCTATTTACGTCCGTCTAAACAAACAATTGATATGGTACTAATTTATTGATAACAGGTAAAATAGATTGACCGGTCGGGCCGGTCAGGGTATGAACTAAACATAGATAATATAGATAGGTAGACTATATGCTTCTCCTGAATTTACTACAGGTATTTGATAGGATTCAAGTAGGAGGGGAAAGGGGGGTAGGTGTTTTATAGGATTCAAGTAGGAGGGGAAAGGGGGGTAGGTGTTTGATAGGATTCAAGTAGGAGGGGAAAGGGGGGTTGGTATTTGATAGGATTCAAGTAGAAGGGGAAAGGGGGTTAGGTGTTTGATAGGATTCAAGTAGGAGTGGAAAGGGGGTTTGGTGTTTTATAGGATTCAAGTAGGAGGGGAAAGGGGGGTAGGTGTTTGATAGGATTCAAGTAGTAGGGGAAACGGGGGTTGGTGTTTGATAGGATTTAAGTAGGAAGAGAAATGGGGTCGAAGTTTGATAGGATTTAAGTAAGGAAGACAAAGGGGGTTGGTGTTTGATAGGATTCAAGTAGGAGTGGAAAGGGGGGTAGGTGTTTGATAGGATTCAAGTAGGAGTGGAAAGGGGGGTTGGTGTTTAATAGGGTTCAAATAGGAGTGGAAATGGGGGTTGGTATTTGATAGGA